TAAGCAAATGACAAATCATCATGATATATATATACATATATACATATATATATAATGATTAAATGTGCTACATAATCATTTGGAAAAGAGTTACGTCAGATCGATTAAAGTGAAATGGTTCAATGATAAAAATGTTACCATAAATTAAGGAGTGTTACAAGAAATTGATACATATTGTTGGTATAATGTTGCATGAGAGTTATATGTAGCATATGTAAATTGATACTGGGTAGTGTTACAAAATGAAAAGCTACATTTGATTGATTAAGCTGATACAAATGATTTATTAAATGATACTATAAGTAAAAAGGTGTTACAAAAAATTGATACATATTTGATAAAATATGTTAGTTAAGGGTTATATGTAACATCCAGAAAATGATACTAGTTAGTGCTACAATAGATGATTTAATGTAACATTTATAATAAGTGTTACCTAATTCTACAATATTGTTACATAAAACAATATGTAGCAAGGGCAACTGTAGCCCCCATTAAAATGCTACCTATGACTTATTGTAACACGTTTTGAAGATTAAGTGACAATTTATTGGAGTTACATAAAGCCACTTTTTTTGTAGTGTGTGTATTTTATATATTTATTAGCGTATTTTTATATGCTAAAATTTTATTGCACTTATATATTTTTCGACTTAATTATTTATTTGGATGTATTTTAGTGCTTTGATATTTTTATGTTTTTATTTTTAGGATATTGAAGTATTTTTATGGACGACGAGAAGTTGAAGGAAGATCGAGGCGGACATTATGGTGTGCACCATATCCGGGCTGAATGTAGGCCACACAGTTTGGTCCAATATTATAATTGAAGACCACTTGAGAGAGCACTCGAACTCTTTCTATGGGTACTCCGAGCCACCAATTGATCCCAGACCAACGCTCGAGGATATGATAGAGGCCTTGACGTTACACACGTTGAAATTTCGGCAAGAGTACTGCGAGCCATTAATTGAAAGAGATCTTGGTCCATCACTTGAGGATATGATTATGGAGTTGACGGCTAACACCCTTAACTTTCAGCAAAGTGTTGAGATCCTGGTCCATCACTTTAGAAATTTCAAATATGTTTTTTTATTTTTCAAAAGAAGTTAATTTAATTGTAACCACAACAATAACATCTAATCACGTTAAATAGTCAACACATTATATGGTCAGTTGTAATTAAATCAAAAGTTTAAAATTATTTTTGTATTTTGAAATGATTAGTTTGTTGATTATCTAATAATTAAATGAGAGGTTAAATAAATAAAAAGTAACAATTTTTAGAGGAAAATGCTATATTGCCACATAAGTATAATTTAATAAATTTAATTTAATGCTCATATGCTAGCAATTATATATATATAGATTCGTCAGCTATTGATTATTATATGTTTGACCCCAATGGGCTAAATAAAGAGCAAAATCAATTAAAATATGTTATAAGCTGCAGATCCAATAAGAGATTTGAAGTCCAGTCCACTTTTTGCTCGCCTAATTGCACACCTTTTGTCGTTCTCTTAAAGTATGTTTGGTAAAACTAGTTGATAAGCTAGCTGATATCCGATAAGTTAGTTTATAGTTTATATGTAATTTTTGAACTTATAGCTTATAGCTTATGACTTATAGTTGAAAAATAGCTTATATGATAAAAGATGTTTGGTAAATTAGCTGATAAGCTAGCTGAAATAAAAAATTCAACTAACTTATTTGAAAAGCTACCTAAAGTAGCTTATGAAATAAGCTCGAGCTTTATAAAAAAGCTCGTCCTACCAAACGAGACTTATTTTAAACATGGAGCTTATAAGTTAACTAAATAAGTTATAAGCTAACTTATTTGGCTTACCAAACATACCCTTAAAGATCTTCACATTTCTATAAGAACAAGAATTTTATACAAGTCAATCGGATTATTTTACACTATTCAGAATCAATTATAAATTCCCTTAATATAGTAAAGTACAGTTACTGCAATCATGCATTTATTGAATCGAATTTATAAAATATTATCTCATCATAAGTCATAACTAATCAAAGTACACCAATAATATTATTCTTAAAGTAACATATTTTTAATTATCAATCATCTACGTCCATTATTTTTACTATTTTTAATTAATCAACTTTAATCATTATAATTTTTCGTATATATATCCTTTCACAATTTCAGAATTATTTCACTCTTTTGCCAAATTATTTTTGTTTTCTAAATTTTTAACTATCTTTGTTTCATTCAATTGCTCAATGTATATAATGATAATGGTATAAATTCAACAAAATCTTTAGTCTAAATTTCTTGTTTGAAATTAGGTTGTAAAATGAATATTGTGTCAAAATAATTAAGCTATTAATATACGGAAATTAATATCATGTACCATTATATATACAAAACATGAAATCATTTTCGTAGGGCTCAAAAAAATTGAGAATTAATTATGCCAAATTTATATGAACCATATTAATTGTTTATAGGGTTATTGTTCATGTTTTCAAATATTTATTTATGGTGCTTGACTTTTGGAAACAAAGGAGTATTTATTTAGCCTCACATGGTGGATCGGATGACTCATCCTTTTATCATTTATTTTGCCAGCATTTAACATGTCCCCTGTGACTGAAATTGTCTTCCCTTTTATTATTATTATTATTATTATTATTATTATTATTATTATTATTATTATTATTACTACTACTACTATTAGTATTAGGAGGGAGTATTATTATTTAATTAAATTTAATAATTAAATGACATTTATTATGAATAGGAGGGAGTATTATTATTTAATTAAATTTAATAATTTTCTAAAAGCCAAAGAATCCATCATCATAGTCAATAGATCCATAAAGATACTCATTTTTAGGACAAGTCAATTATTGATTTTAATTTTTAGAAAAAGTCAATTTTTTGATAATATTAGGTATATATATATATTTGTATGGTTACATTCATAAACACGCACCAATACATGCACACACAAACAAGGCTCACACACACAAAGAGAGTTTTTATTAGGTGTGCACTTGGGCATACAAT